AAACAAGTACTTTGCAACCACATGACTGCATTAAGTATGAAGTATGACCACGCAGTAAATCTGGAGTTCTCCATCTCCCCTTTGTTACTTTTTGAATAGCCGCTCTGCAGAAGGAATTAATGAATTGGTTTATCAGTACCAAGACCAATGAACAGCTAAAGTTAAACCAGTTTCAACTGTCCTCATACGCTATGATACGTTACTTTGTGGGGGTCATACAATACGACACAATACAAGGATCCAATATGAAACGAGACAATTGAATGCTGTCAGATCAAGTATGAACCTTTTCTTGCATTACAGCAGCTCCATTTACAGCATCAATAAGGACAAACATTAAAGTGGACCTATCATGCTATATTTGAATAATATAGTGTAGGACCATACCTATATAAGGCATATTTATACTTTTTTTTTCTTCAAAATACCAAACAGATCATGCATTTTAGCCATGCCTCATTTCGCTCAATTTGAAAAATGTTAGCTCTGTTTTAGCAAGGGCTGATTCTGTGAGAACAGCACCATCTAGAGGCCTGGCATATGTACTACAACGTCTCCAGCGCTTTCGAACGGCAATGGCCGTGGCTGTCTCCTCCTGATTGGTGGAGTTGGCCCAATAGCCGTAGCACCACCGTCCTGACGTCAGGAAAGTGTTCAAATCTGGATCAGTTTTTATCAGATCCGTTGCAGCCCATTTTTTAGAGATTTGGGTATGGAGGAAAATAGAGAGGGTTGTGTTTTCTGACACTTGGTGAGTTCCCTGGAACACCGGGGACACATATTCATGTAGAAAAGATGTACAAAAGTGCATTTTGCATGATAGGTCCCCTTTAAGTGAAAAGAAACAAGGAAACATACGATACTACACGAGGTTCATATGATACGATGCGATACGATCTACTTTGTTGTCCCTGTAAGGAAATTAGTTTTTAGCACCCGTCTGTAGTTCGACAGAAGATACAATCATATTACATGATAAAACACATTAACAACGCAATACAATACTTTAGCATAAGACAGTAACGCTATCCTATCCTCTGTAATGATGTAAGTGGCTGCCTTTCTTCCCACTAATGTAAGTCACTGCTCTACGTCTGGCCATTGTTGAGAGGACAATGGCGCTGCTCCACCCAGCCTGCAAGCCCCCCATCCCCTCGCAAAACATTAGTTTCAATACACTTAAGCAGCAATACCAAAGCTTTGAGTGGTTAAATGCTTATTAGACTCAAGTTAGTCTTTCTCTCTTTGTTGAAGTGTTACTTTTCCCTCCAACTGTCATTATTTGTCTGAAAGTGACGCAGGTTGTTTAGTAGTGGTGTTCATATTACGTTTGACAACGCTAAAGTCTTTGAGTGTTTTTCAAACTTGCTTTGCAGACCCAAATGCTTCTTCTTTCTGTCTTTGTTGAAGTGTTTCCCTTCCCTTCAACTGTTAAATATTTATATTCATTTTCACCAATCTCTACGGGTGAGTCATTTCTTGGCTGGTTGGGCTCCTTTCTGATCCAGTCGTGGCTCAGAATGATCAGTTTGTGAAGTTAACAGATGGATTTGTCGACCATAACAACCATCCATAGCCATTGTCACATGGAGCTGGGAAATTGTTAACGGCGTTTTCTTCTCCATGCCAAATCCTATCACCAGGCTAGTATCTAAAAGTCAGTCATTGTTTGTCTGAAAGTGACGAAAGTTGTTTAGTAGTGGTGTTCATTATACGTTTCAATACACCTATTAGACAATGCTAAAGTCTTTGAGTGTTTAAACTAAGACCTAAATGCTTCTTTCTGTCTTTGTTGAAGTGTTCCTTTTCCCTCCAGCTGTTAAATATTTATATTAATTTCCCCAAAACTGTACGAGTGAAACATTTCATGGCCGGTTGGGCTCCTTTCTGATCAATGCCTCGGTCAGATTAAGAAGTGTGTGTGAGGTCAGCGGATGGATCTTTCTTCTAACATGATGTCATTGTTAACGTCTTGTCAGCACCCTGGTATCGAAAAGGCACTCGTTGTCTGTCTGGAAGAAAGTGACGAGAGTTGTTTGTAGTGTTTATGTTGTCTGTGTACATTTTCATGCTTTTATGTGAAGTACAAATCTGTCAGTGTCTCCCCACATGAGTAACAAAGTAGCCCGGCCCAGTTTCGTGTGTGTGTGTGTGTGTGTGTGTGTGTGTGTGTGTGTGTGTGTGTGTGTGTGTGTGTGTGTGTGTGTGTGTGTGGTGTGTGTGTGTGTGTGTGTGTGTGTGTGTGTGTGTGTGTGTGTGTGTGTGTGTGTGTGTGTGTGTGTGTGTGTGTGTGTGTGTGTGTGTGTGTGTGTGTGTGTGTGTGTGTGTGTGTGTGTGTGTGTGTGTGTGTGTGTGTGTGTGTGTGTGTGTGTGTGTGTGTGTGTGTGTGTGTGTGTGTGTGTGTGTGTTGTGTTCCGTGTGTGTGTGTGTGTGTGTGTGTGTGTTTACGTGTGTGTTTACGTTGGACCCAGCCCACCATTTGAACAAGTCGCTGCCTGTTGTGTTATTCTATCTGTGAGCGGCTGACAGAGGGATTTCCAAAGAACAGAACTTTTTTATTTGTCTGTTTTCGAGCAGAGATTACTCGAGTGTAAATATTTTTACTTGGAGGGAGATTTCACACTTAGCACGCACACTTTGTGGACACACTGACCGTCACCTCTGTTCAGGCCTTTCTTTGTTTTGGAGGTTTTTATAACCTAGTAAATGTTATTCTGCTCACTAACACAAATACTGTCAAATCAGCAGCGTCTGAGAAATGTATGTTCTCCAAAGAGCTGATGAAAAACAAAATCTTTACCATAGAGAAGGCCTGTATTTAAATTCAGACTGTGTTTATACAGTATCTTATGCTTTACTAGACCATGGCAACTAGGCAGTGTTACATTTGTTGGATGAACCAATAACAGACCAGTTAATTGCAGCTAATTGCTTGTATACATCTGTTACTACGTTTGTTTTTTAAAACTACAACCACTTGCACATTTTTATGGAAAGTTTTCATAATTGATGTGTCATTTTATCCCATTCACAGTTCGTCCACTCATTATAAGACCAAAAAACAATGTGTTTATGTACAATAAACTCATTTAGTTTGTCTTTCATTTAAATTAGTTTTAAATCCATAACTAAATAAGGGTATAAAGTACATCAAAATGATCATATTGTATTCATAAAAACATGTATTAACAATGAACCCAGTGTGCATAAAATACAAATACATTTGAAAAGGAGTTTTTAAAAAGTCTTAAAAAGGACCAACAGATTTTGAAATTAAAAAGTGGAGGGACCTTAATTTAAAAAATGGTATTCTCTCAAACCTTAAATACATTTTCGAATTTGTTTTGTAAAATGTAAGATTTAATTAGCTGACTGAAAAGGTGTTATCATTTGAGTTGAAAGGCGTCATAAAGGAACACTGCAATAATTAAAAACGTCCTGTTATCTTTTATCTTATTGCTACATGTCTGATATGTGTAATATGTCATGTAAAGCGCTTTGAGCATTCGGAAAAGCGCTCTAATAAATGTAATGAATTATTATTATCTTGCTGATCAGTATCTTACAGCTTTTCAGTTCATTCCTCAGCTAGCTGTAAACCCATCAGTGAAGGAATGGATGGAAGTAAATGACATGACATGTTACTTGTTAGACGCTTTTTATCCAAAGCGACTTACATACTCAATACTGTGGTCAATCCCCACAGGAGCAATTTGGGGTGAAGTGTCTCAGGGACACAACGACATGCTGACTGCAGTGGGGTTTGAACCTGTGACCCCCTGATCCCAACACCAACGCACAACCCACTGCACCACACGCCTCCTTAACATTAATAACACAATCTTTTGTCTCTGCTAACAGCCTCCTATTAACATCCAGTGCAACCCCTGAGCAGAAAGCTTTTTACATTTTAATGCATGAGGGAAAACTAACAGGTTGGAGAGGAAACGACAAACAAACAAACGCAGTCATTCATCGTCAGACACTCCTAACCACTCTGTGTCCAGTTTGGCACTCGTCAATCAGTTCTTCGTCCTGTGTGTCCACCCAAAGGCAGTCTGGGTTAATAAACGGCGGTAATATAGATCCCCAGGGGTCCCAACCCCACATGCCAGACTCCTGTTCTCACCTGCTTTCTGACCCTGACAGTCCACATGCAGGTGTTAAAGCCTCCTGCCACCTAATTAACCCTTTCCTGTTCTCACAAGGACCTCCAGCAGAGTCTATTGTAGCTTCTCTATATAGAGATACGAGGGGCAATGAGCATAATTGGCCTAAAGTGCGAGAGTGGAATGGTCTGGTTGTAAATTGCTCGGCTTGTTAGTTTAGTATTAGCACCCAGACGGGGATGTGTACTACTGCACAAAGAAATATGCTGATGATACTGTGTGGAACTCCAAGAATGATTGAGTTAAAGATCTCCTATCATGCTATTTTTAGGCATACATTATGGGTCTCAGATATATACAAATATATAAAAAACATGTCTACAGGTTAGCTCTGAGTGTTAGCGATGCTTGCTGATGTAAACAAAGACCATATTACGTCAAAAACACGTCGTGCATTGTTTCTGATAGCAACGTTTCTGATAGGGCCGTGGGTCCACATTTCCGATATGACGTTTTTAGAGATTTTGGTACGGAGGAAAAGAGAGAGGGTTTTGTTTTCTAATACTTTGAGAGTGCCCTGACACACCGGGGACACATATTTATGTATAAAAGTCATAAAAAAGTGCATTTTGCATGATAGCAGACCAAGAGGGGATCAATATAGGAATCAGAAACAGGTTTATTGCCAAGTAGGTTTACACATACAAGCAATTTGACTAGCGTGTACTGAAGAAACGTGAGTTGATTGTGTATTCAAGACTCGTTTTCTACGTTTTTGTGACAGGACTTCTTAAAATCTGCATCATAATAAAGGTGAATATTACATTAACGTGTTTTAGTGATGCTTGTTGAGTCCTCCAGCTAACTTGCTGCCTGTTGATCTCTCCACAGAAACGGAAACGCAGAGAGAAGGATGACAGCGACGCAGTCAGCCTGTGCAGCTTCGACTTTAAGGTAAAACACATCTCTTTATTTCAAGTTACTCTAGGGGCTTTCCACACTCTCATTGAAACATGTGTGATTTAAAGAAAACCTTTCGTAGGTTTAGTTCAATATTTTTTTGAGTCTTTAAATAAGAATTGAGGAGTCCAGACTTAGTTGTATGCACAATATCGAAATGTCTTATAACATTAGATGGTGAGAATATGTATTAAAAGACTTTAGATAAGTTGAGTTGGGCTATTAAGTTAATGTTAAGGCTTCAACATGGGATTTAAAGTCTGCCACTGAGCAATAAGCTCAAAAAGTCTGTTCAATTTTAGTCTAAAAAGTAATGGAATTAATGGAACAGCCAAAAATCAGTGCCAAATTGACGCCAATGGTTTTAAGCGAGTGACTTTTCATTTGCAGGCTATAGGACACAGTATTCATGCTATTGTGAAAGTAAACCGGTGCTATAATCCAAAAAATATTGATGAAGCCAGAGAAACAATTATCTAAGGCAGATCTGGGATCAGTTTTACTGTTATGCATAGATGTGGTGCACAACATGTTTTTCCTGCAGGGTTAGAGTCATTAGAAAAGAAGTATGTTTTCCATCTTGTCTGTCTTGTTTGTTGTGTTTAAACATTTAAAGGTAACAATAAGTTGCTTAACTACTAACTGGTGGCCATATCGGATCTCCTGCTGTGTCTGAAAACACAGTCTTTCCTCTGTTTACTCAGGGCATATCATTCAAATGACTCAGCTTATCACGGAAAGACATCCAGATAAAGCCCGTGTTTGTTTGGTGAAGCGCCCGTTGCAGTCTGCTGCCCGATCTGTGTGTAAAAACCTGCTTTGGTGCAACTGAAAGGCGGGACTGGCCAGGTTGGAAAATACACCTCATTGGGTGTGTGTGTGTGTGTGTGTGTGAGGTTTGCACAGAGATCAGTGTTATTATTGTAGGATGATCTTGTCATAACTTAACCTTAACTCCCTTTAGCTTCAGGCTCATTTTGCTTTTACACCACATATGCAGGTTATAGTCTGTTTGACAGTCCTCTTGTGAACCTGGAGATGTTGAAACCCCAAAGTGTTATGATAGAAATGTATAGTATGGGTCTGCAGCACATAGAAACTGCCAGATGCTAACTTGCATATGTTGGGCAATTTGCACAATTAGCATACATTGCAATAACTAGCATATAGTTACAAAATGTCTTGGCCGATTTGAACAATGATGGAGTGGTTTTGGAGATAATGGAGAATGTTAAATACATTTCTAAAATTTTCAGGCTCTTAAATTACATTTTTAACCAGAAAGTGGCCATATTTGTACATTTTGGGCAGATTTGGAAGTTTTAGGGGACTCCAAACCTCAATTTTTGATCCTACAAATGTCAGAAATTGATTCAACATCCTCACTAACCCACAAAACCACTTCCAAAACTGTCCGAATCCACAAAGCCATTTTTGAGCTATTGTCTGCATATGCTAATTAATGCAATTTATTCCAATTGCGCAAATTGCCCAATATATGCAAGTTAGCATCCAGCAGTTTCTATGTGCTGGGGAACCGTACCGTACTTTTCTAACATAAAACTTTGGGGTACTCAACATTTCCGGGTTCACACTGCTGGCAGGTACATTTAAAGTGAATTAAAGTATTGTACCGGTAGTATGTTTGGGAGTAAATCTCCACTCTGATCACCCGTACAGATTAGGATCGCCTCTCTCCATTTATTCTGTCTCAATTTCTGTAACCAGTTGGATTAGTTTCTCTGCTTTAACTAAACAAAGCTTTATGAGTGTTGTGGAGAGAGTCAGTCCCGGGGCGGGGGGCGGGGGGGCACTCCTTGATTTATAGCCGAGCAGCGTGCCGTGTTCTGCTTTCCTTCTTTTCTTATTGTACAGACTAATCCCCACACACTCTGCTCCACATACAGAGGCAGTGCTTATAGTAGTTGTTGTTAACCGTATGGCTGCTGGGATACTGACTCTAGATGCAGGTGTTAAGTCAAAGATGCAAGGAATGGTCTTAGAAGGCAGTACTTTTAATGTACAATTACTTTCATTATTGATCAATCTGCCAATTTCTCAGAGCCAGGGGTGACGTCTTTAAATGTGGTTTGGTCTGACAAACACTTTAAAATCTAATGACATGACATACAATCATATATGGCAAAGACAAGTGTGTGTGTGTGTGTGTGTGTGTGTGTGTGTGTGTGTGTGTGTGTGTGTGTGTGTGTGTGTGTGTGTGTGTGTGTGTGTGTGTGTGTGTGTGTGTGTGTGTGTGTGTGTGTGTGTGTGTGTGTGTGTGTGTGTGTGTGTGTGTGTGTGTGTGTGTGTGTGTGTGTGTGTGTGTGTGTGTGTGTGTGTGTGTGTGTGTGTGTGTGTGTGTGTCAGCCTGGCTCCTGTGTTAATGCTTGTCATTTTTTTTTTTTTGTCATTATACGTTTCAATACACCTATTAGACAATGCTAAAGTCTTTGAGTGTTTAAACTTGCTTTGCAGACCTAAATGCTTCTTTCTGTCTTTGTTGAAGTGTTCATTTTCCCTCCAACTGTTAAATATTTATATTAATTTCCCCAAAACTGTACGAGTGAAACATTTCTTGGCCGGTTGGGCTCCTTTCTGATCAATGCCTCGGTCAGATTAAGAAGTGTGTGTGAGGTCAGCGGATGATGTCATTGTTAACGTCTTGTCAGCACCCTGGTATCTAAAAGGCACTCGTTGTCTGTCTGGAAGAAAGTGACGAGAGTTGTTTGTAGTGTTTATGTTGTCTGTGTACATTTTCATGCTTTTATGTGAAGTACAAATCTGTCAGTGTCTCCCCACATGAGTAACAAAGTAGCCCGGCCCAGTGTGTGTGTGTGTGTGTGTGTGCGTGCGTGCGTCAATAACCCTCTTTCACTGTAAATTACGCACATTTTGTTTCGACTTAAAGCCTAGTGTGAGTTCCCTGGAAAGTTGAAAAATGAAACAATTTTTCACTTTCATTTTGAAAGTACGATTCCAGGGAAATAGATATGCATCGGCAGATACAAACACAGAAATGCATTGATTATGATCTGACGCTTTACAGAACATCCCTGTATCTGTCTGTGCCTCCTTGATCAATTAGTTTGTGTCTGTCAGGTAAATCTCTGCCAGTTTCACAGAGCGTTGGCGGTTTCACTGATTCTTAGTTACCTTCCTGTGTTTGGTAGCAACCAGCGCTGCTATGGGTGTGTGAAAACACTGACACATATAAAGCCCTAGTGTGTTTCCCGAAGTGTGTTTTCATAGTTTCTTCAGGCAGTAGGATTACATCACCGTCTTCTTCTTCTTTATATGATTGTGTGCGTAGAGGAGTGGAGGTATTTATAGTCCTGTGCCCTCAGAGCAGAAACCTTGTGGATTAATAGTGGTGAAGATCACGCCCTAACTGGGGTCTGATTTAAAAACCGACGTGCTCCTGAACCCTTTGGGAATGGTGGCTTTGAACGTCAGGAGCAGGGAAGAAGATTCTCTCTCTATAACATAAATTGTTATTATATTCAAGCTAGAGATTTTTTACAAATCCAGCAAATCAATTCAAATAAAGAGTTGAGAGAATGACATTTATTTAGAAAAAGGAGGAAAGTAAAATGAAATGTTGTTGCCTCGTGAGAAGTTGCAAATCTGAGAGTCCCGGAAAATTAAAGAGGCCCTTTTATGCTTTTTGGGGTTTCCCTTTCCTGTAGTGTGTATAGGTTTCTGTGCATGTAAATGGTCTGCAAAGACTCAAATCCCCACCCCCTTCCTTCATTGGACTCCTTTGTTTACTTCTGTAATGGCGCATTTCCACTACACGGCCTCGCTCGGCCCTGCTCGGTATGGCTAGGCCTCGTTAGGACTGGCTCACTTTATGGCGCATTTCCATTACAGTTTAGGAACTGGGGCAGTATCTATAGTAACGCAGTGTAGGCGGAGCCGTGACGTGATCTTCAATGAGAACCCCAGAAAAACAACACAGCCGTTATCTGTTAGCACTCAGAGCTCACAGCTCCTCATATCTGTTCAGAAACTAGACAAAAGTTAAACAAGTACAAACCACAGACTGCCTGTGTCATGGTGAATACAGTCGCTGGTTTATTTATGTCTGTATAGGCCGTTGTTGTGAGTGTGGACGGTCGGAGCATATACTGCGTTAGCTTAGCCAATCTCCATTTAGAAAACACGCATTTTAAAAGGTTTTTTCGCCTGCCGTCTGTCTGCAGACTTGACAAAGCATTAATTCATGGTTTTTACTAACCGGTATCAGTATGTTGTTACTTCGGCATCATTTTGAAACGTGTATTACAATTAAATCACGGTCAAATATGTCCATCTTGTTGTAGTTGTAGCCCCCCTTGCCAGCGATGCTCTCTCTAGTTTAGCATACTCAGCCCGACTCAGCCTCGTTGTCTCTGGCCCTGGACCCACGATTTTATGAGGCCAGAAAAACTGTGAATTAGGACCCGCCGGCCGGTACTAGGCCAAGTGGAAACGCAACCAAAGACGGGCCGCTGACGTCACAGCTCTCTTAAACCGTGCTCCGCGCTGTAGTGGAAACGCGCCATTACAGTGACATCACTGTGTAACACTTGAGCTTATATTGGCTAGTGCTCCAACACATTGTACGTGATAGGCTAAGAGGCGGGGCATCTCTAAGCTGGTTGACCAATCACAACAGAGCCGGCCAGCTAACCGATCAGAGCAGACTGGGCTCTGGTTTCAGACAGAGGGTGAAAAGAGGTGCTGCAGCACAGACAGTATGAGACAAATAAAGAGCTTTTTGAACATTAAAGCATGGAGACATGTAGTAGAGACACTACATACTGATATACACCTGAACATCAGCAGGAGAGGACTCTTTAAAGTAGAGACACTACATACTGATATACACCTGAACATCAGCAGGAGAGGACCTCTTTAAAGTAGAGACACTACATACTGATATACACCTGAACATCAGCAGGAGAGGACTCTTTAAAGTAGAGACACTACATACTGATATACACCTGAACATCAGCAGGAGAGGACTCTTTAAAGTAGAGACACTACATACTGATATACACCTGAACATTCAGCAGGAGAGGACTCTTTAAAGTAGAGACACTACATACTGATATACACCTGAACATCAGCAGGAGAGGACTCTTTAAAGTAGAGACACTACATACTGATATACACCTGAACATCAGCAGGAGAGGACTCTTTAAAGTAGAGACACTACATACTGATATACACCTGAACATCAGCAGGAGAGAACTCTTTAAAGTAGAGACACTACATACTGATATACACCTGAACATCAGCAGGAGAGGACTCTTTAAAGTAGAGACACTACATACTGATATACACCTGAACATCAGCAGGAGAGGACTCTTTAAAGTAGAGACACTACATACTGATATACACCTGAACATTCAGCAGGAGAGGACTCTTTAAAGTAGAGACACTACATACTGATATACACCTGAACATCAGCAGGAGAGGACTCTTTAAAGTAGAGACACTATATACTGATATACACCTGAACATCAGCAGGAGAGGACTCTTTAAAGTAGAGACACTACATACTGA